CACATGAAGGTCACTGGCGCTTTTCAGCGATTCACACACCGTGATAATGTCTGAGAAAGTTTATCGTCTGCGCGCAAGTTTTGCATACCCCTGGGAAAGAAATTTGTATCTCTACCTCTGGAGCTACATTAATCGTGCAATAAAGGAAACCTTGCGACTAGCATAAACCGAACAGATTAACAATATGTTAATTAACAGTAACGAATGACTCTTCCAGTTCCAGGTTTCATTATTTGATGTACTCGGGTATGAGAAAGCTAATGATATTTATAAGGTAGACAGATAACGTATAGGGTTTTCAGCATTGTAGGGCTTACGTAATCATTCTGAAAAGTTCGCAACTATTCTTCGACTGTGATTAAGCTGGCGATCAGGAGTTTTTAGCGACCAGGAACACTAAATTGAGAGATGCTACGATGGAATGAAATCGTTTTCTTGCCGATGACACAATTGTTATCAGCCTGAAAATCTATGAATGAAACCAAGAACTCGCCATTACTTTCATTCATGCTACAGAATAAGGCCTCGATGATTCAAACTCTAAAATGATGACAGCTGTGCAAGAACTATTCTTCTGTTGCGTATAATCACATCGAGGATTTCACGTGTTACCATTATTCAAAAAGCCCTCCCGAATATGCTTCGATGGCAACGATTCAACGATTAGAGGATATCTGTAGCTCCATGCAATGAACACAACACGTGTGTAACAGGGTGAGATTAATGAGTAACGGATGCAGCTTTCATGGCATAAGTATAGTGGTATCACTGTATTTAAAAATCTTTTGCAGTGCACAGTAATTCTATTTAGCGTATACGGCGGGAAAGTGAAATCAACGGTTATGGATCAGACGCAAAACGAACAATGCAGCTGTTGTATCAAAGGTGGGCTTTAAATAAACCTGTCAGTCTATGACCTTTAGGTCAGAAGTCTGCAACTGCATAATTTTTATTTGCACTGAAGAATATCGATATGGATATATGCACCGTTAGTCCCACTTATGTAAATGGCTGTTATAGCTATTAAAACCTGTTTCGATGACTATACACGATTGTGTGAATTCTATCGAGAACAGTTCTGCACAAAGGATCTCAAGAAGTCAACGTAAGACGATGTCTGTTATCGCTGATTTAAAATCAGAGCAATACTCTACTCTCAAAGCTTGCGATTAACTTACGCTAAACATCGATGGAAACGTAATCAGAATGGTCTGTTGCATATTGTAATAATGTTTCTTCACATCTTTTGCATAGCCTGCTACTCCATCGAATATCATGCGATCGTATCCGTCATTAAAGACACTTTTTCACTACTCACCGTCTTCTGCCACTGAGGTAAGGTTCGGGAGCTTTATTCTTAAATGCGGCAAACTCAGTTACTCAGCATGTTCCCACCAACTGGAAACATGAATCTTTTTTCAGTCTCTCATTTGTGATCCGAATCTCATGCTTAACGCATTATGACTGGTGCCAGCAGATCTGAAGATAAGATCCCCCGATATATTTCAGATTGTTTTATGCATGCTTCTGGAGTCCTGTTTTTTGCCTCTTGCATCACGGGCAGTACTCTATCAAAGTTTTTCAAGAAACAATTCTTCGGATACCAAATTAGTGTATAGCTCAAAATCAAAATATGCAAATTCATAAGCTAACCTTAATCAAGAAACACATTGTCGTGATTAAATCAGACACCGCAAAGCTACGAGCGTGAATGAACTGTACGGTGGATATGAACGACAGGACGAGACAATGCGCCATCAAACTCAAAAGGCAGACGGAATGCAGCGGACAGTTCTGCATGAAGAAGCACGCGTACTGGCGAACCCAGGTCCGCAAACGTGGACACTTCGTCATCATCGTCACCAGGTTCGGCACTAAAGTTCTCTACAGAGTTCGAGGTGCTCAACGTCTCCGCACAGTTTTACTTACAAGTACTTTAACCACAGAAGTGCACGCGACGTAAATTTTAAAATAATTGCTTCCATAGTTCAAGCTTGAAGGCTGCATTGCTAATCAAGTATACATTTTAACCTTGAAGAAACCGCGTTTCGACTGAAAACGTGCCATGAACCATTTCGTGGTGTTGTAAACTAAACTTTACAACAAGCTTTCATTTACGTCTAGATAACAGTCATTACTGCTTATAATTATCTTTGATTAGAGCCGAGGCCATAAATATTCAGTCGGAATGAATAAGGGCCAACAGCATTCTTGCAGAAAGTAGCGAAACGGAATTAGCTGAAAGCGACTTCAAAAATTCATTTCAATTCTGTCACTCACTCAGTTAATTTGTTCATAATCTGATTCGACGGTTTTGGGCCAGGGCAATGGTAGATGTTTCAATACCTCCATTAATTTACTGCAACGTTTAAACGGTGTCACACACACACACACTGGCATTGCTTGAGAGAATTCGCAAATAAAAAAATGTTGCAAACTATTCTTCGTCGCTAAGATCTTCAAGGGGTTCAATACGCATGTAAAATTTTTTAAACAAAACCCCGATGTTTTAAATGACGCTGAAAATGTCAGCAATGCGCCGCATACCCTGGAATGATCTTAAGGTGTAAATACGATCAGCGATTTGTTTGCATGCGTTGTACTTGAAGGCAAAAAATTTAAATCTTATTTATCTTGTTAACCCCACTCCTTTGTCAACTTCTTCCAGACTGATATCCTTGCCTTTTTTCTCTTCAAACACCCACATGAGGAACGCTTCGTTGCTCTTCAAAAACGTATTCATTTATTAGAAACAAATTATTAATCGATTTCTTTTTTCGATCCATGATTCGAGACAGGTACCTAGCATGATGTTGTACTCCTTTCTGCTAACTAGTTTTGGCAGTACTACACAACATCATGACCGGTGAAATACAAACGAAAACTCGTGATTGGAAAAGAATAAGTGATCTTCTTCTTCTGTCTTATGGCTGGAGGAAATGATAGCAACTTTGTAGGTCAGTATCAAGATTTCTAAGCCACTGAATGATCGCGAAGTAGCATTCCGGACTTCAACTATGCTGCCAAAGAACTTTAGCAGCAGGTATTCGGAAATAAAGTGCTGCATAGTCTGATCTTCATGACCGCAATCACACTGCAGGATAGACTTCAGCTTCTAACGATGGTGTATTTATCCGTAGTGCCCTCGTCCTTTTCGAATCCTGTTTAATCTCGACCATTCTAAGCGATTCAGGTCCATGGCAGGTTCTGTATTAAGAGATCAAGTTTTTGTTATGGACAATTGCAGCGTCCCACTCTGCTTGCCACGGTTTCTCGAGACTCAGACGCGGTGTCGCTGCTCGTTCCCATCGTGGGTGGCGAGATTTCAGGCGTCACGTTGGTGGCTGTTGGAGAACATGATGGATGGGTAACACGCGATCCCTATCAATGTTCTGGAAAATGCGATACGCCAGCTAGCCTCTCCGGAGGTGACGAGGTTAAATATGGCCAGAATCTTTAATCAATGATGCGAGCACATGCGTGACAGGATCAGAAGTCAACGATACAGCCACCAAACAAGAAAGTAAATGTTGTTATTCAAACATCCGTACCTTCCACATAACTTTCTTGAATATTCGAACTCGAAGTCAGAACAAGGTATCAACCTTCTTCTCTGAACTTCCATATTTCATGAAAATGACAAACTCAATCTTCAATTCAGGGGCATCACAGTACGTATGTACAAGTTTGCGTAGTCATCACAGGTATTTATTTTGGTATTCGCCATACAAGTAATGCAAAGAATTTTTTTAACGTTAGGAAACAACTTCTAATACTCTTTTTCGACAAATCTCCATTTCCGGGCAAAACAGACAGTAGATACAACTGACTTTGCAAACAAAATTTGTCTCAAGCCATGACCGCTTTCCTGCGATAAACTGTCCTTTAATGGATATTACCGCATCGTCACCAGCAACAAATACTTCAAATGTTGCATGCGCTATTATGTTCCGTAAATTTGACGACAAAGACATTCCCACATAATCCACATATGGAAGTTAACATTGAAGTGTTCGTTGCCACAGAAAGCATGATTACATCCAATGAATATAGAAAGAAATAGATAGAAGTCGATAACTTCTGAAATTCTGGACACCCTAAAACTTTTACGATCGACATTATTTATAGCACTCCATTCTCTCGATCGCATCATGCACTAACTCCCTGCATGAAAGGTTAAGTAAACACAGCACATAGACTCGTGCATCATTCCAATGTAGCGGTACTCATTTATTTATCTTTATATACTGATAAACACTTTATCAATTCTGTATTCAACCGATGTTGCCTCTGCCGCGAGTTCAGTGCTTGGTAGTCAAAGCTGCATATGTCTTAACTATAACTTTCTTCAGATTACTGAAGTCAACCAGTCCAGGTCACAATTCTTCCTACAGAGTATTTTGCACCGGTCATGTTTACAGCTTAGAGATAGTTACCTTGAAGAATACCTATGAATGCCGTTTATACTCTATAAATCACATGTATATACTGTGACATACTCTACACATCATGGATGCTGGCGCTGCTCTTCAAATGCTCACTGTTTTCGTCAAGCCACAGAAAGAGATGTGAAGGCCTTATTACACTGTTTATGAGGTAAACCCAGCCACGGAAATTACCATCCTGAATACGAGGACTTGCGGTCAATTAGCAATATCTCCTTTGTGAAAGCACAAAAAACTTTGATCACACGATTCTGCTTGCCGTCCCGCGAATGTCGTAAGCTTAAAGACATACGCACATCAATCAGTGGATGAAGATGTTCATCACAGCAGCGTTGTAGAGGCACCAAAACGAAATCGAAGGGTAGCTGCAAATCGCCATTAAACGATACAACGATGAAAATGAGTCTGTTCTGTCAAATATTCTCAGATGGTTGCCTTGCGCCGCTTTCATTATGACGGTTTATCGTCACCCTTCGTTATACTTGAAAGGCACAAGCCTCAG